GGGACTGCCTACCTCACGGCGTCCCCGAGCGCCTAGCGCGTAGGCAGTCCCGTTCGCCTCCGCTGGACGGCGGGACTGCCTACCTCACGGCGCTCTCCCCGCCCACTGCGTGATCTCCTTGATCTCGTCTGCTGCTCTCCCGCCGCCGGGTTCAGCTCGACGCTACCGTCGCACCGGGTGGGATTCGTGACACGCGAAGACACGCGGGAGGAGGGAAGGGAGCGTGACACGGATCACTTATCATTTTGACGCGATACAAAATTATTGCCTCTCCCTGCATTTTTATTTTCTATAAAATTGGCGTCCGTGGTAGATTATTGACGGTCGAGCGGGAGACCTGTCCCTCTGGCAGGTCTATAGTCGCCAGGCCGGCGGCCACTTAACTTTTCCTGCGCCTATCAGTATCTGTCGAGATATGAAGAGGCGCGACTTGATTCGTGGCCTTGAATGAATAGATCCAGCCGTCACGCCTTTCGTGACGGTAAGCCTGAGGACACAAAACATCCTCCCCGCACTGGTTGTTGTCCGACGTGGCTTATCATTAACAATTCACAATTAAAATTGCGTGCAGATGGAATCCTTACAGTGGCGAGCGAAACGCGAGATTTCGCCTCGCGTGAGACCCCAACTAAACTCAACAACAACAACACCGAAAATCACGCAACTAACTGTGTTTCAAACTATGGAAACCTTCTAATTATGGACCAAGCTGTACAAGCCCAGAAGTTATGCGCAGTCTGGAAACCTAAGTGTGTACATGTCATGTATGCGTTATTTGCTGAATGTGCACACATGTACACACTATTTGCTGCATACATGTAGGAGTTCGGCAAATAACGCATACATGTACACACTTGGGTTTCCAGAGCAGCAAATGTGGTTCACTGATCTGGCAGGCCAGTGCCCGTCGTGAGTACAACAGGGCCTGACCTGTCAACGCGTCTACATTTAGTGAACGAACCATACTAATACTTATTATTTCAAGAATGTACAAGCAACACGCTGAATACTTACGTCTTCCTGAGATGGGTGGCGGGAAGAAAGACGGCAAAATACAGAGCATTACTAAGTTGCCACATAGAAACAACTGAGACACTGAGTCTAAACGTCTAGTGAACAGCCTATTTACACGGACAGGCCGAATACGAGCAGCCAAAGCCTCAAAGTACACATTGATGATTTTTTAGTTCGTTTGAAAACGTCTCTTACCAATAGTGCAATCCCTTAAGGATCCTTTTATCACTTTTTTTTTCAAAATGGGCCCCACAGAGGCCATTGTGAGTTAAAGCTTCTCAGACCTCAGACTTCAACCTCGACTTCTCGCACTGGAACATTTAGATGCCACTCATTTGGAAACGTAATGATATAACAGGCTGGAATAGGGCTTTCCGGTCATGATTACGGGTGTCTTATATGTACAAGAGGCTGTTCTGTCGAGATCAGTCCCGTGCTCCCTATATGCTGTACATCATAATATAGTTGCTCCAGTTGATCCGATTTGCCGCTCGGGTTTCTTACCTTCTTGACGCGTACGTTCCTCTTGCCCTTCACCTGGTAGAGGGTGTTTTCCCAGTTGTTGGGGTCAAAGTGCTTGAAGCCGGTCGCCACTCCGCCAGGAAGGTATCGGATGCCTAAACCGCAACAAAGACAAAAATAAAGTAGTAAATCAGAGGGAAGACAGGTGCAAAGGTACAGTATGCAAGTACCATTGACTGGGATATTCAAAAGAACAGGGATCGTTTGAAGGGTGACCC